CAACGCTGTCATATTTTGTTCAAGTTATTGTCCTTCGATGATCGACAAATAGCATGTTAACTTTTTTCTTGCTTGTGTCTTTTTGACATGGTGCAGTGTGCTTGTGTACACTGGTGGCTTCATATATTTCCTGATGGAGATTTTTTAGGTAGCATTTGAAAATTTTCCTTACAACACAATCGTTTCTGCTTATCCCTTTTCTGAAATTTACTTTGGTAATCATGATTAATATCCTTTATTTCATCAGACTCCCTTACTTGATCACTGTCAACTTCATACAATAGAGATCGCACAGATGCCTATTTATTTCCTTATATACTGTTCAGTTACATTTGTAGCGATATAATTTATATAAGCCAGTAACAACCTCCGCACCATGGTGACCATTTTGTTGCAGTGGTTAAGCTACTCGGTTTCGGATCCAAAGGTCCCGAGTTCTGTCTCCGGATAGAACGCGCCACTTCTCATTAAAAAACCATAATGAGTTGTACTGTAAACAGCTGTCAAAACGTCTAAGTCATTCCCAAGGGAAAACTATAGCCTGTTCATAGAAAATATTTTAGAACAAAACTGGTTGCGTGGGGAACTCAGTCACACACTCCAAGTACCTTAAGATAGTAAGAAAAGGTTTGCCACTTCCATCGAAAATGGAGATATGTGACAAATACATTTTAATTCCCCCCCCCAGGGGGCTCACCTTCTTTAGGTGAGTACGGGTGTCACAATCCCGAGGTGCCCTAGTGATCTTTCCTTTTCCCACGGGGTTTACTGTCTTTGGTAAACACGGCTTCACGAACCCGGGGTACCCTAGTGATCCTTCTCTATTTTCGACCCTCTTCGTTGTCATTCAATTCATTCTTTCTTTCTCTTCCAGTCTAGACCACAGATATTAAAACAAATGTTTGGCGCAGTATAGCCGAAATCGGCTCTTGCGCCAATAAACCCCAAAATCAACCAATCAATCATTTTAGTTCCACATAAATACTGCGAAATAGGAGGATACTGTCAAGGGTCATTGTTAAAAAACAAACAGTTTTTCCAGAATTAAAAATTCCGTGAGCCTTGTGCCTCGCTCGCCGAATCCCGGGTTAGTACCCTTCCTCAACACATATCACAGCGTCATCTCAACATCACGCCAACGCAAATTACACGAAAATTCCAATTCATTTTTGTTCTACATATGCTCTCATTATATAAAAGCCCGATTTTACTTAAAACTGAGAATATATTTTTCGTATAGTTATTTCATATATAAAATATCTAATAATTTTCAACATTTTAAATATTTTATTAATTTTGAATAAAATTACTTTTATAAGTGGTAACAGCCTTTTTATTAAAAATTGAAATTTCAATTTCAGATTGTCAGTTTTAGATAAATAACATTTATATATTCATACGAGACACATATTAATAAAGTTTAATAAATACATTGTTCCACATAAAGCTTCAATATTAAATATATCGGAATCTTATAACAAGATTAAATTCGAGGAAATTAAAATATGAAGCATTTAAGAAGAATGCAATTTATTTAGAAGAATTGAGTTCAGAAAGCGCTTCACTTTTCTGTTTGATTATAACTGTGGAGTTTAGAAAAAAATAATTCGAATTTTCAGTTAGAATGAATGGAATAGAAAAGGATTCATAGAATATCCAAAACAAATGAGTAAAGTTAACCATCTTGAAAACTGATTTTTACTACAGAAGTAACCTTGATTGAATTATTTTTTTTTATTATCAAAGACAAACATTCTCAGCAATAAATAAAGCAATCAACGTAACAATAAGGGAATCTTGCATTAATTAATTTAATTGGCTTTGAAATACTTCGAGGAAAGCATATTTTGAATTGATTTAAATATCCTTTTAACGTTCGAATATATCTGGTACTATTTTTAAAATGTGGGTATTTTTGGAAACTAAATATTATAAATAATTTGATTTCTCAGATAAATTATCTTTAAGTTAAATTGTGCACGTTACAAAAATGTTTCACAAACATAAATTAAATACACATATTAAACAGAAAAACTGTTTTTATGTAACAATAAAAAGATGATTTTTTAAAAAAAAAAATTAAATTACTTAATAGCGAAAAAAAGTAAAATCTCTAAAAGTTCAATGTATATAGTAGAGGAAATTGATTTACCAAAGCTGCATATGTTAAATGTTATTAAAAACTAATTTTATCTCAACATTCTCCAATATTTTAGATGAAAAATTATGTTGTTATAAAGAACAAGTATTATAAAACAAATTTTAAGTCAATTCCTACTTTGGTCAACAAAGAAACATTTTTTATTTTAGTTAATTTTTATTAAATAGTTACAATAAATATAAATATGTATATACATATGACATAATCACAATAGTAAGTGACAAAATAGAAAGCGATTTTCCTTGCAATTTTCCATTTTCCTTTCTATATATGGTGCTGGATTATTTTTTTTTGTTTGTTGCTATTTACTCATTCAATATAAAATTATAAAGTCTACTAAAATAGAAAAAAAAAAAGAAATCACATTCATCAGAAATTAGGCCATCCCAGGTGAAATTCGAACCCATGGCCTTTGGATTAGAAGTCCAAAGCACTATCCATTATGCTCAGAGACACAACAAGCAATTTTCCTTTCTATATATGCTGATAGATTATTATTATTTTTTGTTATATTTATTCATTTTTTATTTAATTAATGTATTAATATTTGAAAAACTGCATTATAACATGAGTAGTGTCACCCACTACCATTTTTAAAAAAATGCATTTGTACTTGATTGGATAAATAGAAAGTATTTATTAATGATTGAAAATGTGAACAAGATATATATATATATATATATAAATATACTGTCGACTCTCGATAATTCAAACTTTCGATAATACGATCCTCTCGATAATTCGAAGTATATGCTCAGTCCCTTGTAAAACTCTTGATATTTCGAACTAAAGAAATACGTTTGGATACATTCAATAATTCGAAGTAAAATCTGTGGCTAGCCAGACTACAACACGTGATAATTCGAAGTTGTCTGATAAAAACTCTCGACAATTCAAACACTCACTATCATGTAGAGTCCTGTAGCAAACAGGTTTGACCTTGCATATTTTGTGCTGTATTGTTTCTACTTGCCTCCCCCCCCCTCCTGTAACGTAGTCCCTTTCATGACCTTCGATGTTGACTCCGATAACCCTTTCCTTAAAAATCATTGATGAGGACATTTTTCAAGCTTCATTTATTCTTGAAAATATATAGACAAAGTTATATTAATTGCCATTAAAAGAGAGAAAAAAAGATTTTTTTGCTGAAAAAAATTTATTATCTACACTATATATTATTTTAATAGTTTTTTTAAATACATAATAATATTTATACTGTATAATATAGTTTGCATCGTCAAGAGCTCAGGTGCCTCCCTCTGTGGAGGAAACTGGGCGTCAAAATTGCTTGCTGTAATCGGTATCGCCTATATGGTGCAGCGCTAAAAAGCGGTACCAGCTCCTACTAGGTCTGCAAAGGTAAAATACCAAAGCGTAGCCCCATTGAAAAAAAATACTGTATAATATGTACTTTTTAAAAATACTTTAAAATAATTTCATACTTGCAATTGTTGCCTTATTACATAGTTTCAAATTTAAATGTTTTAGAAAAAAAAATTTCTCTTCATGTATTTTGGTAATTTTTTTCCCCTACCCTCTTGATAAAGTTTTTCATTGGTCCCTTCAGCTTCGAATTATCGAGAGTCGACTGTATATATGTATATATATATAGGGAGAGTGTGAACTAATGGTAGGAATTGAAAAATATGTTGCAATGGTCCCAGATATAACCTAATTAAAAACATCAGTAAATCCTCCATGTGTGAAAATGCCTAGAGGAATCAAGTCAATCCAAATCTATTCCAAAAATCGTTCTTTTATTTAATTTCCACTACCTGTAATAAATAAATGGCTCGAATAAGTATTGTTTGCATTTTACGTTCCTATCAATAGAAATAAATTCCACTATCTGCCTCAAAACCAAATAGAGAGCAACATCTCCAAAAGAGCAACATAAGCGATTTCAAAAGAAACATCGACACAATGTTAAGACAAATAACAAAGGTGGCTTTAAATAAATGGTGAAAGTGTGTTCTGAAAATGTCAGAAATTTCAATTTTAAAAGCCTTAGGAAAGGGGGCTTCCGGCTATTTTATTTAAGCTCTCCAACAAAATGTCTCGTTTACGGAGTTAAACGTGACTCTTGCGTGTGTAGAAAATATTAACATTGCTATTGACAGAATATTTTGCGTTTAAAAATTCGAAAGATCTTTTAGAAGTGCTGAGTTGAACCAAAGTATTGAAAGCAATCTCTTCAAAATATCTCTAAGGAAATATCCAGATTGGGGGTATGAATAAATGTATCAATATCTGTATATATCTAGCTATCTATATAAGTGTGTGTATATCTATGTATATGTATGTTTTATATACGTGTGTGTGAGAGTAGGTACATAATATGTACAAAATGTAATGCATATGTATCAAATATTATGAGAATCACATTGGTGGAGATATAAAACGCTTTTTTTTAGATTTAACTTATAGGTTAGAAGAGTGATCACTTCAACGGTGAATTTGAGAACAATGATAGTGTACACTGGTTTTACTTAGAAATTATAGAATGTGAAATCCTTCCAGGGCATTTTTTGTTTCACTGTTCAAGAGAAATTGATTCAGGATATTTAAAATAAGATTTCTAAAGGAAGGAATAGGAAGTTCAGAGTTTAAAAATACAGTAAATTGCAATTTGCTATAACAAAAAGAATTCTAAAATGTATACAGGATGTTTTTAACATATCTAGAACCCTTTTAAGGGCTACTGATGACATAAAGTATTTTTTTTACATATAAGAATGTCTATTTAGAGCTCTTATTTTGCACAAAAAAAAACTATTTTGCTGTGGTTATAAATTTAGGTGTAGTATTTATATACACTCAAGAGCCAAAACATTATGACCACCCCTACATTTTCTAATGAACTTGCTTGGATGGCGTGGAAGGCACGTGATCAGGTGGAAGTGGTATTTAACTGCTGCTGGAGAGTCTGAAGAATCATTCTTTCACTTACTTCTGTGTGTAATGGGAAAGGCTGCGGATATAAGCGATTTTGATAGAGGGCAGATTGTAATGGCTCGGAATGGAACCAAGTATTTTCGAAACTGCACGACTCGTGGGTTGTTCGCGATCTACAGTTGTTAGTACTTATGCAAAGTGGATGAATGACGGTGAAACCAGAAGTAGACGACGACATGGTACTGGACATCCACACGCTATCAAAGAAAAAGGTCGTCGGAGACTATCTCACACGGTGAAGCAAAACCAGAGCCAGACAGTGGCTTAGCTGACAGCCCAATACAATGCAGGGCCAAGTAGAATAGTATCGGAGCACACTGTTCAGCGGACACTGTTTGATATGGGGCTACGCAACAAACGTCCCACTCGTGTGCCTTTGATGACCAAGCGTAATCGGCAACTCCGCGACTGGTCCATGGATCAGTGGGAGAGAGTTGCTTTGTCAGATGAATTACAGTTTGTCATTCATCACGTTGATGGCCGTGTCAGGATACACCATCTTCCAGGTGAACGGTTGCTCCCTCAATGTACAGTAGGTCATACACAGGCCGGTGGTTGCGGTATTATGCTTTGGGGTGGCGTTCTCTTGGGCGTCTCTGGTGGGACCGTGGTTGTGGTACAGCAGACCATGAATGCTACAGGGCATCTGAACATCAATGCGGATCAGTTGCACCCTTACATGGTCTCTGTTTTTCCAGCTGGAAATGGAATGTTCCAATTGGACAACGTCCCGTGTCACAAGGCTAAAATTGTGTTGGAGTGATTGCAGAAACATAATGCTGTATTCCAGTTAATGTCCTGGTCGCCTAACTCACCGGATCTCAGTCCGATAGAACACATTTGGGATGTCATGGGACGGCAGCTCAGAGTTCAAAGACAACCAATTCGCAATATCTCGGATTTGCGTGACCGTTGCTTAAACATCTGGTACAATGTGTCTCCGGCCAAGGATTTATGGCGTCCCTGCCAAGGTGGGTTGAAGCTGTGTTGTGCACCAAAGGTGGGCCAAATCGTTATTGACAGGTGGTCATAATGTTTTGGCACTTGAGTATATATATATATACTAGCCGTTACACACCCGTTTCGCTGGGTACTACATGATGTTTTATAAACTTATACTGTTTATATATATATATATATATAAATTATTGATATGTAAGTCCTAGCATATTAATAATTAGATTGTATTGAAAAATATAATATACCTGTCACTTTCGCCTCTTGATTAAAAAAAAGGGCAGAACCCATCTAATTTGTATTTTCTAAAAATCTCTAAAATTGACCGATATAATGATGTGTGCTCTTTCGTAACCCTGTAACCAAGTGGATTCCCGCAAAACCAATTTTCGGTGGATCTCTACTCCCTAAATTGAACATGCAAGCCAAATTTCAAGTCTAAATCTAACAGAAAAAAAGAAGTTTTACTATCAATATCCCCGTAATCCCGTTGAGAGCCGCTTTCCAAAATTACCGCTCTTAGCGAATTTCAATTCAACAAAAGAAAAATGCAAACCAAATTTCATTATTATAGTCCTTGTAGTTCAAAAAAATGAGTTTTTTTTGTCAATACGTCCCAGTAACACCCTGCCCTCCCCCCCCCAGGAGTTGATTTCCGTTAAATACATTCTTAGTGGATCTCTATTCAACAAAAAGAAACATGCTTAACAAATTTCAAGTATACGGGTCTAATTAAAAACAGGAAATTTTTTCCTATAACTCCTCTTGACTCCTCGCAACCCTCCTTAGAGGTCAATTTTCGTTTTATTCTTTGTTCGGGGAACTCTATTCCATGAAAGGAACATGCCTACCAATTTTCAAGCAGGAAGATCTAATAGTTTAAAAATGGAAATATTTATCAATTACGCCTCTTAATCTCCCGAAATTAAACTTGGTAGTTGATATTCGCAAAACCAATTTTGTAGCGGTTCTCTACTTTCCGAAAGGAATCTGCTTATCAAATTTCAAGACTGTACGTCTAATAGTTTAAAAATGGGGATTATTATCTATAACGCCACTTGAGCCCCCGCAACGCCACTTGTGAGTCTGTTCTCACAAAACCCATTTTGTAGGGGAACTGCTCTCTATGAAAGGAATCTTTTTACCAAATTTGAAGACTGTGCATCCGATACACTAAAAATGCATAAAAATTATCAATAACGCCCCTTAAGCCTCGCAACACTACTTGGGAGTCGATTTTCACTAAACCCATTTTGTAGGGTATCTCTATCCTATGGGAGGAATCTGCTTACCAAATTTCAAGACTGTGCGTCTTATTGTTTAAAACCGGAATAAATATTTATATCTGCTTTTAGCCCCCCGCAACACCACTTGGGGTCAATTTTTCCAAAACCCATTTTGTTGCGGATATTTACTCCATTAAAGAAATATTCCTACCAATTTTCAAGCACGTAGGTCAAGTATTTTAAAAAGCGAAAATATTTATCTATTATGCCCCTTAATCCCCCGCAACACCACTAGAGGTCTGTTTTCACAAAACAC